TTAAGCACCGGTTTGAGCACCGTTTGAGCACCGGCACCGTTTCAAAAGTACCGATTTGGCACCGGTATCGGATAAAACCTAAACGATACCCATCCCTAATGATAAGCTACATTTAAGGGTATTAGTAATTTTCTTAATCATTAGAAAGCCAGCTGGTTGAATTGATATATCTGTGTAGGTATAGAGATGTCTAAGAGAGAGAGCAGTGGATTTTTTAAATCATGGGATGCCTGAGGAATGGAGAAGTGTACAAATTTTCAATAACAATGTGTAAGGACTATCAGGAGGGGCAAAAACACATGTGACAGTGATACACAACATGTATGAGCACACCAAAACAGTGGTATATAATAGATAGGTCTTAAGAAACTATACAAACAATGAGTGCAAAACTGCATATGTTTATATGACCTGAATGATATAACAGTGGGTCATTTCACAGTGTTCATCAGAGTGACAGCCTGGGGAATAAACTGTTTCTGTGGTAGCTGGTTTTGGCAAACAACACTGTAGCGCCTGCCTGAAGGCAGCAGTTGAAAGAGTTTGTCTGGGAGTGTCCTGCTTCATGGCTGAGTGGAACCAGACACACAGGACAGACTGGATGATGGCTGTGTAGACAAAATAATTGTAGTTGTATTGTAATTGGCGACTATTCCCATTTTATAATGCACTAGGTTTTTCTTGAATATACTATCTTTTGTATGTAAAATTAAATTGTTAAAAAAAGGATGTTGAATTAAAAGATGTTGTCTCATACAAGTTATTTAAATCAAATTGAATTACAAAACTGCAGATAATTCAGTCAGTCCCATATTAACTTATCCCTGTTTAGAATGTGCCAATTGGGAAGAACAGTCACCTCAAGGTGCTTTATACTTAAGGTTCCTTAAGATCCTACATTTTTTGAGAAAATCCCAACAATCCAATAACATACTATGAGCAAGCATATTTCAACAATCACAAGGACGAATTCCCTTTCAGCAGGAAAGCAGAACCAACAGAGCCAGTGGAACCAGCAGAGCCAGCTCAGGGAGGTGCAGCCATCTGCTGCAACCGATTGGCAAGAAAAACCATGAGTACCAATAAATGTTCATGTTTTTATAGATGCTTGCTTGGTAGAAATATTAAAATTTTATGTGTTTAAAAAGCAAATGCTTCCATATTGTTTTCTAACTATAAAGAATGTTTATGTTCAATAAAGTTGCAGTTACAGTGCCCTTTTTAATAGGGGACTTGAACAGCATTAAGAGCTTAAAAAAGGAGGAATGTTTTAAGTTTGTTAAAATGTTTCACCTCTCATCCTAATGTTTCTTCAGTTCAGCTATGAACTGAATAGCGAAGCTTTCATAAAACCAATGCAGTACAGGGTGGGCCATTTATATGGATACACTGTAATAAAATGGGAATGGTTGGTGATATTAAAGTCCTGTTTGTGGCACATTACGGTAGTATATGTGAGGGGGCAAACTCCTCAAGATGGGTGGTGGCCATTTAGAAGTCGGCCATCTTGGATACAACTTTTGTTTTTTCAATAGGAAGAGGGCCATGTGACACATCAAACTTATTGG